ACATTATATAAACTAAGTACGGAAATAAAGACAAGCTAACCAGATATGGCTACATTATATAAACTAAGTACGGAAATAAAGACAAGCTAACCAGATATGGCTACCTTATATAAATAGAGACAAGCTTACCAGATATGGCTACCTTATATAAACTAAGAACGAAAATAGAGGCAAGCTTACCAGATATGATTACCTTATATAAACTAAGTACGAAAATAGAGACAAGCTTACCAGATATGGCTACCTTATATAAACTAAGTACGTAAATAGAGACAATCTTACCAGATATGGCTACCTTATATAAACTATGTACATAAATAGAGACAAGCTTACCAGATATGGCTACCTTATATAAACTGAGTACGTAAATAAAGACAAGCTTACCAGATATGATTACCTTATATAAACTAAGTACGTAAGTAGAGACAAGCTTACCAGATATGCCTACCTTATATAAACTAAGTACGAAAATAGAGACAAGCTTACCAGATATGGCTACCTTATATCAACTAAGTACGTAAATAGAGACAAGCTTACCAGATATGCCTACCTTATATAAACTAAGTACGTAAATAGGTACAAGCTTACCAGATATGCCTACCTTATATGAACTTAGTACGTAATAGAGACAAGCTAGCCAGACACCACCATTCCATGCAAACCTATATTACAACAATAGATAGGAGTCTTTAAGTACGAACGATAAATTTAAAAAAAACGAAGTAGGAATGAAAATATTTGAAATAAAGGTGTCCTCGAAAGCTTGTTTATATGTTCATTTAAGGTAATAGGTTTGTGTCACCATTTCTCAGTAGAATTTCTTAAAATTCTGTAGTTATATTGCTTTGAATTAAAGAAAATTTTCTGCCACAAAAAATAGAGGATTTTAAATGGAAATTTATGAAAAAAGGAGTGAATTTTGAAAAAAAAAAAAAGATACATTTTTTTAAAAAATAATGTCAATAAAAATGATACTGCCATAGATTAGTATTGCATTAATGTATATCAATTTAATAAATGCTGAAATTGTGAAAAATAAATGATCTATAAACGATTAAAAATTGACATTTTATAATAAAACCATATACACATAGTAATTGCATGTAAGAGTTATATTTCTTGAAAAAGTCAGTAATGAAATAGGTAGCCGGTTTCCTGAAGTACAGAAAAATGGGCACATGTGACTCATTGATAAAAAAAACAACTGAATTAATGCCTGGATTGCTTTGAAATACTTTAATATTGAGAGACCACAGTGTACTGTCAATAATAAACATATAATATTCATCAGTTTAAGTTTAAACAATGGACAAAACATAAACATAATGACTCATTACACAGTAACTATACTACAGTGTATTTCTGTATTCTAATATTCTGTCAAGAATGACAACTCTTTGGTAACATAATTAACAACAATGTTTTCTACTTATTTTCCTGTATTTTTGGCACTTTATAAAACAAAATGGTCTGATAATTATTGAAACAAGCCTACAAATATTTAACTAGGTACATAACAAATTGAAAAAAAATGAATATCTAATTCTGATTGATAAGAAATTAAAAAATACGCTTAGCAGTAACATCATATTGTGAAACCAATAATTATTTTATTTCATATGTATTTAAAGATTTGTGTGATATGTTTCAACAGCATAAAAAAGAAGACATCATGTAATTATGTATTCTCTTGTACATGTACTTTTCAAGTGTACTTAACACAAATAAAACCGAGCAACCATGTTATTGATTTTAAAGAGGATGCATTTGTCTAGCTAGTAAATGTCCAGTAATACAAATATATTTTTTGAATTATCATGAAAACATTTTAAATCTTTTGAATTCTTTTGTTTCATTTTAGTTTTTTTCAGATATTCAGCAATGCGTTTGATTATTTTGTAACTATTGGTAACTCGAACGCATTTATTTGTTTTCGCTCCCAAAACAAGCTTGAGCCCATCTTCACCGTTTCTATTGTATATGCATAGTATATGGTGATAACCGAGTCCAGAAGAACTTTTTCTAGGATCATATCATAAAAAGATGACAAGCAATTGAAAAACCATGATGTAGTCGTTTCAGTGTTGGTATTTTCAATGAACCTACCAGTTCCTGTAACATTTTTACATCTTCAAATGCATCATGTGCATTATATTTTTCCCCAAGGTGTTCTTTAGCGAGGAATTTTTGTTTTAAACATTTCAATAGGTTATATGATAACGCATCTTTAGAAAGTGGTAATGTGTCTATAAAACCCACAATGGGTGATAGTAATTTGTGTTGCTTGTTTATTTTCATTAGAACATTGCAGATAACTTGTCTATTAAAGTGTTTGCCATTGTGTGCCACCAACACTGGATTTTTATTTTTTTTAACCACATATAAAACTTTTCTAAACCTGCTCTTAACACGTTCAATACATATGCCATGTTTAAAACGTTTCCCATTATTCACAGCTATCCCTGTAACTTCTGTTGCACCTAATGTCATGGGTTCAGTTGATAGGATGTAGCAATTGAATGATTCAGAATTGGTAACTGCAGCCATTTGAACTATTTCACCCAATCCTGAAAAGAATGAGAAACAATTATAAATATAAAAACAACTTTGTTTCATTGAGTTTTGAGTGATTAATATATTATTACGAATATAAGTGCCATTACTCATGAATACATCAGACTATATATTTCTATTCATATTCTGTAATTAGAATTACCAACAAACATTTAATATGAATATATGTATAATAAATAGTTTTTGATTTTGAATAACAAATACTATAAAAATAAATTATTAAAAGTCTGAAACATACCAAGGCCTGTTGTTTCTAAGTCAAAGAAAATGAAAGAATAATCATTCTCTGGTAGTGCGTTGTAGTTTGGTGGTACTGTTGGGGTAGGAATTTCAAACAAGTTATCTTCTTTAACTTCCGTAAGACCTATTCCTGAAGGTATGTTGTGCCTTCTATAACTTCTTTTGTTGCAGTTTCTTTACTTGTGGTTTTACCAGCTAGTAAATATACTACAGTAGTTTTACCAGCTAGTAAATATACTAGTTTTACACTTCTGTTATGAAAATAAAATGTCTTACGGAAATTGAAACACTTATTAAGTACGGATGCTCACTTGATGACTTATAAGACTTTTATTTTACCAGTTTTAGAATATGCTTGTGCGTTGTGGGACGGTTGCACTACATTTGAAAAGTAGGAAAAAGCCAAACGTGAAGCTGTTCGCATCATAGCAGGACTTCCTTCTTATACCCATATTAATAACTTGAAACTTGTTTTGACATTTTATCCAATCGAGAAAACTATACTTATTGTAAAAGATGCATGATAAATTAACTCCTAACTACTTCAATAATCTTTTGCCGCCTTTATCACTAGAAGATAACCGTTACGCTTTACGTAACAATAATGACTATAGGATTCCACCTTTCAGACTGTCTCTTACTAGCCCGTCTTTTATACCTTCTACTCTTCAATGTTGAAATAAAATAGGTTCGATCCTTGCCCTCTATAAATTCATTTAATTCACTCGGACACCGGTGCAGTTCCCTTTATTATGACCTCTTTAGAGTGAACCTTGTTGAAAGTGAAGCTTGAAGTTGTGGTCATCATTGTGAGAATTCCTTTCGCTACTTTTTGGAATGTCATCTTTTTACAAATGAAAGACGTATTCTGGTTCATAGTTTTTTTTGGCAATTCACAATTTTCCGTGGACCTTAACTTAACACAAACAGTTTTAGATATTTGCAAAACTTTATTAATTCCAGCAAGATATTTTGAGCTCTAATTGCATTTCAAATTGTTTATTCTTAATGTCATTATTATAATGTCACTGAAAATTGGGAGAAGGCGTTGATAAGTTGTAATTACTTGAAACTAATCCATTGTCTACTTTTGGCAAGAAAAATGTTTGAACTAAACTAATTAGGTAAAATTAGCATTCTTTTTGCAACGTAGTTGTTCATTAACCATGGGCGTGGCACGATACAGTGTACTTAACCGATGGAATAACGTGTGGGCTACATGTAACTTGCTTTCATTTTATGCCAATTTTACATTAAAAATTCTGTTTGCCATTATATATTCTTATTAAAACTAACTGAACCAAACATGCCATGTTCTCACCTCCGCCATTCTTCATACAGAGATAGGGAAACCTCCATACACTGCCCAGTCCCACGGTGTTGCCGATCAGACTCAAAATGTATTCTAGTTTGTTCGTCCATTGTTCGCGGGGATACTAAGTGGTCTGTTTATGATGGTCTTCAAGCATCAATTCCATTTCAACTGCATCTTGATGGTGTGTGACATCCTCGGCCGACATTGTCATGGTGCGGAAATAAAATAAATATACCGCGTCAACCCTCAATAAACAGCACACTATTTTAATACGGGCATATCAGCATATGCTCGAGAGACAGGTGACCGTAACCCTCAAAACGGTACATCATTTAAATATGGACAAAACAGCGCATGCTCGAGACGTTGATTCTGTATAGAATACAATCTATTGGTATTGTACTGTATCTAAAATGACTTTGCTAATATCCTTAATAATGCCTGTCTTAACTGAAAATCGGAAAAAAATAATCAGAATAGAATAATAAATAAAGCATTTGTATAGAGAGTTTGAGCATTAAATCGGTTTCATGAATATGGGTCTAGGTAACACCTTAATTGATGCAAAATTATCATAGTGATGAATTTTGTAATATCATGTATAACTAAATGACAAAACGTGTTACACTTCGTGCCCATCACGGAATAAATGTAAAAGGGTATAGATTAAATATTTAAAATATGAAGATGTATGGATTGATACGTTACGTTCACTTATAAACAACGTTGTCTGGGTTTTCTATCTGATAATCAGCAATCTACTCAAGTACTCGATGTTTTTTAACAGTAAAATATCAGTGCTTGTCACTAACTTTCTTTATGCTTCTACACTCATATCAAGAACAACTCGAACCACAAATAAATGAAAATGGCCACCAAACTGGTGACATTTGAATTTATTCTAATAGAGCCACTTTAATGACTCTAATCATGAAAAAAAACATATCACGTGAAAGAAATTCAAACATAGAGAAGTTGCAATGTTACAAATATAGGAGCAACTACCACACAATATAAACAAAAAAATGTCAGCTAGCCTAAGTGAGGTAGGCCAAAAACCGCCACAAAGACACTTCTGAGTGGAACATTCACAATGTCTTTCCCACCCAAAGGCTAGTTGACAAACAGCCCTTAAAAAAGAAGGCCTGGCATAAAAACCAAGGCTCTACAAACAATCAGCCTAATCTATATAGATTATCAGGAAACAACATATATGTACGACAAATTGATCAGCTCAAGAAGATCAATATTTGGGAGCGTAAATAATCACTCCAATAGACACACAACCTAAGACGATAAAATGGCAAAAACAACTGCCTCTTCACCTACACTTAAACAGGTAAGCACCAATAGTTGATCGGTTCAAGCAAACCAACGTAGCATATACAAAATGTACAAAGTGTCCGAAACATTGTCATATGAAATCAGTCCCGCGATTCGCTTGTTCACCGGTTTATTTACGGGGAAGAATTTTGGAAAAGCGCTAGTCTGTTTGAAAATAATACACGCTCGCGCATGGTCTATCGTCCAAACAACCATGATTTTTAACAAATGATCAGTGTCGTTACATCGCAAATGTGTTAGAACCAAGAAATAATCAACGTATGTGTGCGTTTGTTATGGTGGAAAAGATAAAAAGAAAATGCTGGGGAAAAAACCAACTAAGGACGCTTGCAGCCTGAGTTGAATATTTTTTCAACATTTTCTAATCCCGAGTTATAGTTTACACCATACAGTACACACATATGTTGATTATATCTTTTCTACCAAGTAATATGTAATAGAAGTCTTTTTCGTGTCTACTTCAATGTCCTTACTCCTGCGATAACCAAGTTGATCCAGATAATCTAAAAAAATAAATAAATAGGACTGTGCTTTTGCGCTCGGTAACAGATGTCGCGTGATGCCAATATATGTCTTCATTTTACAACAAGCAGTGCAGTTGTGTATTTAGTTTGTTAACCAGGATATGTTTGGGAAGGTTGTTTTTTTTTATTATTTTCAGTTACCATTTGGTCGACAGACGATACACAAAAACATGCATGACGTCAAGCTTTATGCTAAATGTTTATTTCAATCAATGAAAACCCTCATTCTATCGACATCGCTCGTCAGCATACGAAATGAGCATTTAACAGATTTACGAACACTATTTTATGCCTGACTCTCGCAATAAGTCCGGCAGAACTTTCTGACCGTGAGCATTACAGGTTATAGATTGAAAATAGAAACTTGTTTGTTTATCCGCTAGCAAACATTCAAATGCATACAAAATAAATGCATGTACCCGCATTCAATAAAGGAAACATGTCCCTCGGCATGTTCACATGAGCGGGGGAGGTTTTTGGAAGAGCGGTAGTTTGTTGGAAAATGATTCATACACGTGTAGGTATATCGTCCAATAATACATGGTTATTAACCAATGAAAAGTGTCGTTATATCGCGAACTTGGTACAATTACTTATAACATTCTTTTAAAGTCTTAACAATTTTAGACAGAACAAAACACGATACCTTTTGAAAGGTTAGCAATCTAATGTACGTGACATTGTTCGATGTTATATTTTTCACTTTCGTATATGTGTGGTGCTATACATGCAAGAGTATATACAGTGTCCTCATCAAGGACACAACATGGACCATGGTATACTCTACTCAGCATTGTGGGTAGAGTTGAGCTACAAGAGTATATACAGTGTCCTCATTAAGGACACAACATGGACCATGGTATACTCTACTCAGCATTGCGGGTAGAGTTGAGCTACAAGAGTATATACAGTGTCCTCATTAAGGACACAACATGGACCATGGTTTACTCTACTCAGCATTGCGGGTAGAGTTGAGCTACAAGAGTATATACAGTGTCCTCATCAAGGACACAACATGGACCATGGTTTACTCTACTCAGCATTGCGGGTAGAGTTGAGCTACAAGAGTATATACAGTGTCCTCATCAAGGACACAACATGGACCATGGTTTACTCTACTCAGCATTGCGGGTAGAGTTGAGCTACAAGAGTATATACAGTGTCCTCATCAAGGACACAACATGGACCATGGTTTACTCTACTCAGCATTGCGGGTAGAGTTGAGCTACAAGAGTATATACAGTGTCCTCATCAAGGACACAACATGGACCATGGTTTACTCTACTCAGCATTGCGGGTAGAGTTGAGCTACAAGAGTATATACAGTGTCCTCATCAAGGACACAACATGGACCATGGTTTACTCTACTCAGCATTGCGGGTAGAGTTGAGCTACAAGAGTATATACAGTGTCCTCATCAAGGACACAGCCGTCTGCGCGATCTGAACATATGACATTACTAAAATAGGCTAGCGACTACCAGCTGTGCTATTGGTTCTCTATGGGAAAAGTGATATCTTGTAAATATTACAATAACAATAATTCTACATATATTAATACATAAACCCATTTGGACATAATTAGGATATCAATTTCGCATATTGATATTCTGAATTATTTAGTATAGTTATAATATGCAAACAATTGAGATTAATTCGTTTTCAATTACGAAAATGAATAAGGTTAGACACTTGATCGGGATTGGTCTCTCATAGTAGTATAGAGTTTTCTCTTTTATTTCACGGAAATATATATATATACGGAATTTTGCATTCAATTTGTTAATAATATTCATCCCCCGATTCATTTCTTGTTTATTTATTAACTTTCTCCTCCTGTGTATATTACTCCATCTACCACAATCTACAGGAACTTTTACCATACATGTTCTTAAGTTGCTATGAGATATGCAATCTGGCATAGCTATTTGAACAGGTACAGCAAACAAAAAATCTAATGGCTTATTTTCTCCCATAACATACACTGAAAAACAGTGATTTATCACGAAATATATACAGACAGTGCTAAGAGCCCTGGGAAACAGCTGTCCTTAGAATACCCAAATAAAATAAAGGCAAACACAGGCAAAATTTCTTGAAGTAAAATATTGACCTGAAAATTAACTTCATCTGAAATTAATCTGAATTTCCGGTCAAATTCAGGACAAATTAAGGTTTATTTCGCGTGAAAATTTCTTCAGATCTCGTTCATTCAAATTTTCATATCAGAACCTATATCATACCCGAAAAGACCAAAATAGCAGATTTAAGGTAAAACATTCACCTAAATTTGATCTGAGAATAGCACCATAATAGCAAAAACTGATCTGAACTTAACCTGAAATTGACCTGGATTTAAATTGGGAATCTGTATGAGGACACTAATTTGTTCGAGGGGCTGATCCCAGACAGTGACAGATCCTTTCAATGATTAATATATAATGTTCATGATTAAATTACAGGAGGGAATTAAAATATTTGAAACCAGAAGATAAAAATAAAAGAAAATGAAAATACAAAACACATTTTAAAATGGTGTCATACACATAAAGTTCATACATTGATATATACAAGTATTAAAGCAACAGTGAAATCGCATGACGTACACAATAGACAAAGCAAATATTATAAACTTGCAAAATGAATACATTTTAAGGTTATACATTATAAAACAGAAAAAAATCACCTTGAAAATAACTTTTTTTCAATCACATTGCAGCAACAGTTATATTATGTTCAAATTAATATATCCTTTAACTTTGCTTCAAAATAATCTACGTGGAATGATCCTCCACTCTCAAGTCATCAATATATGAAAGAGTTCTCATTTGAGCTAATTTATATATACTGTAAAAATCATTGGAAAAACGCAATATAAAATACGCTGAAATAATCAATATTTCCTTAAGTTTTGCTTTAAAATAATCTAATACCATTCATAGCTCAAACCTGAAGTAATACAGTGTGTATATTCTAAAGTTCTACTCTTAAATAATCAATAAAATCTTTCATGGCTTCTCTTGATCGGTTCAGTTTAGGTGTTGGAAAAAATCCGTGTTGTATTCCTTCCCAGTGTACATGTTTGACCGGAAATCCCATATCTTTCCAACGTTTTGCTAACATCAGGCCGTCGTCCCTCAGGGGGTCATATTCACAAGTCATCAAGTACGTTTTCGGAAGCTGAGATAGCATTTGATCATCCAACATTAAAGGACACATATATACATTCGTAGCTAGTTTTTCTACTTTTTCTGCCAAGCTTTGATCAACAGATTTCGGATCCTCAGGACGGGTCTTGAACTTTTGGTATTTCTCTGGCAAAAACTCAACGTTTACTTTAGAGTTAACTTCACGGCGCATTTTTTCTGTTATATGTTCATTTTTTAAGAATTTTTCTAAATCATTATCGTTTCCAAAAATATACCGTAAGTAAAATTTGATCATTCTGGCTGACCTCAGTAGATAAGGGGCCGAGTTGTATGTATTATATGATGGAGTTTTAAAATCTACTATTTGAAGAGCAGGATAAAACAGACCAAGAAGACGAGGGGGTTGTCGTTCCTGAGTAAGCTTGATTCCAACAGCCATCGCCAGGTTTCCTCCGGCACTATCCCCTTTAATGTGTAAATACAATGTATCAAAGGTTACCAATATGTCTTTTTACAGCATACATCAGAAAACGCATCGTTGATAGTTAACGCCTCAGGGACATTCATCCTTACCATCACATTGCATCACAGGTTCATTTTACAAATTCGTTGTTTCATTTTCAAGTTTAAACTTCAAAACCTGCATTTTATTCTGCTTATCATTTATTTGACCAATAGTTAAATTGCAATAAAATTTAACGAGTAAGGGCAACTTGTAAGAGACTGTTTGATATTGTATTTATCATTATTAATCAATAACAACCTCTTGACGTGTCCTGGTATACCAAAAATGAACTATAATCTGTGAGCTATTCTCAATGTTTCCAAATATATAACCACACATTGGATAACCTTTCTAACAAAGATTTCGTTTAATTAGTTAATATATGTAAATAACCATGAAAAGTTAACTAAGTCTTTCAAGGGCCACACGCATTGTTAGCTTGAATATGAAGCTTAAGGATACGTGTCTTTAATAAATTGAAAGATGGATGATCAAGCTATGGGAAGAACGACTGTTGTTATTTCAGATAGCCAGGTGTCATGTGTACCTGGTTTCTGTGTACCTGGTTTATGTGTACTTTGTTTCTCTGTACCTGGCTTCTGTGTACCTGGCTTCTGTGTACTTTGTTTCTGTGTACTTGGTTTCTGTGTTCCTGGTTTATGTGTACTTTGTTTCTCTGTACCTGGCTTCTGTGTTCCTGGCTTCTGTGTACTTTGTTTCTGTGTACCTGGTTTCTGTGTGTACCTGTTTTCTGTGTACCTGGTTTCTGTGTGTACCTGGTTTCTGTGTACTTGGTGTCTGTGTACCTGGTTTCATGTGTACCTGGTTTCTGTGTGTATCTGGTTTCTGTGTACCTGGTTTCTGTGTATTTAAGGGCACTTCTCTCCCTATTGGATGTACGTGTTTGCTCCCTATCTGATATTTATCAATTATGGACTTCTGCGGTGAATATCGCCACATATTCGTCAAAATAAAAGTCCTTTATTGTTACATACATAAAGTATATATTTGATATTAAAATTATTTTAATAATCATTTGAAAATTGTTTGGAGAAAATCACTGCATTCGACAAAGAACTTTGTGACGTTATAATGGAAGTGACGTCATATGGTGACTATTTACTTGTTGCTTCTAAAATCAGTTAAAACGAGTCTATATCACATATGACCGACCTCCACGTGATACTGATCCAATCAATGGGGATTAAGGAATAGGTTAAGTCGTCTAATATATACAGTATATCTTGTATAATACATAGAGGGCTCAGAACTAACACAAATACAATACACACTATCTATTTTATATATATGAAGAGGTAAACGCAAATGTCACAAAAAAGACAGAATCAATGTTATCATTGACAAAAGCAAATTTAACCCCGATATAAAATTAGCAGACAAAATATGTTCTTAATGTTCTACAGCACGCCAGATCTAATGGCTAAAATAACGCTGACAGTTTTATTCATGGAATATTGTTTCTATATTTAATTTTTACCGCAAAATAATTATAATATTATAATTTCGAAATGTGTTATTATTTTTGAATTTTTTTAATTACAATGGAAATTACCGAAATTACCTTCATTTTGTTCAAATGACATCCATTAAGATATCAACATGAATGTTTATTTACAATGCATCCTTCCAGATTCGTTTGTAAATAAATCTGTAAATATTTTTCATGCAACGTTTCGGATAAATTATCCACCATGTTTGATTACAAATAAAACCAGACTAGTGTGCTTAGGCATATTCGAGCTAAAATACTGGCTAAGAGATGACATACTACAAGCCTGACATATTAACCATTAGACCATGGGTTCCAATTACAAGAAAACGGAAAGAGAATCATACTTAATTGTATTATTAGACAATTGTGTTGCTCGGAAAAATAAACTAGACTATCTGTGCTACATATATGGCCAGTCGTAATTGGGAAAAGTTCCGCGTTTGTCACGGATCTGATCTATACGCACATTGCCAAAATTGTTATTGCAATTAAATTAAATTAAATAAAAAATCGTTTGTTGTTGAAAACATATTCTGTAAAGCAATTTATTTAACACTGGTGAATGTGTCTGTGTGTTAAAAGCAATACACATATCAAACTATAATGTGTATGACAAACTTTTCGTGATAGTACAGGTAAGTAAAATAAAAACGTAATCATCTTATTGGACGTGCGAATCAATGTTGATTCGTGTTTTAATTTAGATGAGATAAACGGTAACGATATCTACAAGCTATATTAAGTTTCCTGATATTTACCTGACAATGCTATCCGACTGGCATCTACACCGAACTTCTTGGCGTTTTTCATGAAATACTTGGTCGCTGTCACGCAGTCCTCAAATGGTATTGGGAATAAGTGTTCCGGAGCAAGTCTGTATCTACAACAATATAACAATGAAAGATTCACAGTCTTTAAACTCAGGCTGTACATTATCTTTTGAACTGCCTAGCAAGATTCTTACCTGCCCTTGACATAGGGAAACAACGAGACAAAGAAACAGGTTCAGAAACTCACACACACTACCACACATACACAGAGAAAAATCCAAAATTAAAACATTAAAATTGACCTATAACAACATCTATAAAATGTGATCAATTTTCTGACAGTTAAACACACTATTTTACTACTTTTTCTACCTTTTCCTATCCTATGAAAAGATGAATGACGCTGTTTTGCTTTCGTTTAAGCTGTTTTTCTTTATCTATGTTCCTTTCAAAAAAATGTTACACAAATAAGTGTAAACTGACAGTAAACGATAATCGAAAACATAATGTAAGTAGTAACAGCGGTCTGGTCAGTTTTACCCGACATCCCTGAGATACATACTATAGAAATAATCCCTAAAAGAAAGATCAGTTAGACAATGGCGTTCACATTTGACAATATTATCATATATATGCATACATAATATTGCCAGTAGAATCTAGTAAATTAACGTAAATAAGTCTGCTAAGGTCGAAAAGAAAAATAGCAAAAAAATGAGACATAAATATGAATTAAAACAAATAAACTATTCATTCATATTTAGGACTGAATGCAATTAGTTCTAACCCCCTAACCTTATGTGACAATATGGTATGGTTGCTACAGTTACCGTTTAAATGAAAAAAATAAGTGAAAATTATTTAAATTAGTTCCAACCACGCATGGACTGTATTATAACCTTTCAAAATCAATCTTTCAAATGTAGATTGTTTTGCCAAGCGCCAACATACAATTTTCTACTTACTCAACAGAGGCTACAATGACAGGAAGTGACGTAGACAATCTCTTTGTAAATAAAGAATACTGCTCTGAAAAAAAAATGGGTATGTGATAAGTTAATCTGTATAGCCATAGTCACTTGCTTTTCTGTAATTAAGATTTAAGAATTAACAAACAACATATTGCTAAAACAATCAGAATCAAATACAAACAGTTTACACAATATCGACCCAAACGGAGGGTATATTTTGTCTGTATGGGTTAAATATAAATGTATCATGCAAACAACATTTAGTCTGAAAGTTTTGTCACGCTCCCAGAGATTCAATAGATGTTTTAATCAATGTTGATGTTTGATGAAAAGACAGTGCTGACAATGAAGACATTAATTTGCAACAACGACCTATTTAAGGAAAATTAATTGATATCATCCTGGTGCCACACGAGTAAAAAACATAAAGAGTATTTTACAGAAATCATTTAATTGTTTATTAATTAAGATGAAAATGGAATTCGAAGTGCCATTTTGGTAGGTAGTGCTTGACGTTAGTTTGTCAGCATAAGAAATGGGTGGTATAGGACCAGAACAATATTTAAACTTTGATAGAATAGTTATGCTTTATTTAGTTTGGCTATTGTAAAAAAATCAATTTCTTTTGTGACGTCATCAATTTCATTCTTGTCAAACCTTACTTTTATGTTCAAATAACTGTGCGAATTAACTAAGTAAAGCATAACTACTCTATCAAAGTGTAAATATTGTTCTGGTCCTATAACACACATTTCTATTGCTGACAAACTTGCGTCAATCAGGTGCGAACGAAGTGAGAAAATCAAAAGACACAGCCTGGAAACAATGTGTGATATTTGTTTGTATTCTAAATACCATATCCTTACATATTTCATAAACAATAAATATATCGACTTACAACCACACATGTGGATACTCCAACTGACTTAGAGAGATTGTTGAGATCCGTCATATTATTTTATTAAGTTTAGCGCGGATGATACCATTGACTGTAAGCTTTTTTTGTTCTTTTTAATATTTTTTTCATTAGCTGCTCAAATTGCATATTATGCTTAAAATGGTGTGTTTACCTCCCAATATTTGTTTTCCTTTATTATTTTATGATTTGTTAAGGACTGACTATTTTATTATGCGGTTTACATTTGAACTGATTGTGGTTCAGTTTTATGACGTCACCTTGAGCGTGCAGACATTCTAATTGAGAGAAAAAAACATTTCCTAAAAAGGAAAACTCATTGTGAAGTCGTTCTAAAATCGTTTTTTAAATCGTTCTCAAGTCTTCTTAAATTATTCCAATGCTAACAACACGTGATAGCGGATTTACAATGCTTCTGATAAGTGATATAAAATACATGTTGTAAAAAAACAATAAAACTATAAGATTTTAAAGTTTTAAATACCAACCTACAGATCCTATTATCCAGCCACCGCCATGATAAAACACTAATGCCGGTAGATCTTGCTTGTCAGTTAGGTCACGTGGTACAAACAGTCTCACTTTGACACCGTCAAATAATTCTTCTGTAATCTGAAAAAATATTTTGAAGTTAAAGGCACAAAAGATATTCAATTTCAAAGTCTGGAAAGTATGAGAACCGCATATTTTCGTTTCTTCGTGGAATCTATTGGCGATCGTAATTTTTTTATCCGGTCAATGATATGACAAGCTTAAAATGATCTATGATAGAAACTGGATGACAGCGCACTTTTACTGTATTACAATTACTGTCGTTTAACAGCTTGCATGTAAATACTGAGCTCAGTTATAGAGGCTACAGGTTAGACATGGGCTTTATTGATACTGTATCTCAAGATCGCAAACATTGGATCCGTGTAAACTTAATTTACACATCTTGAGCATAATTCACTAGTATTTGGAACCCCTAAAGAAAATAACTGGATATACACAATGTACGGTGTAGAAGAAAAGTCGTGTTTTGACTTGGCTGGATAATGTTTTGCCTCTCAATCAGTTGAGCTCTGGATTAGCAATTTGGAATCCGACTTCTACTCCAAGCGAACACGCTTGGAAGACTTATCTCTCGTAAATGAAGTTAACCATAAGCTTACCTTCACTTCGCTATCGGATAGGTCTTTATCGGTTTGAGCTGGTATCAAATTGAAGGGGTTCCTTGCACATTCATGCATTGTTGTGTACCCGATGTATTCTTGAAAATCGCACTGAAAAATGAAAACATGTTCACAAATATGAAAAATATCTATTAAAATACATCTAACTTTAACGTAGTATAGATTGCTATATCGAATTGTGAGTCAGGAAAACAAGGTTCACTGATACTGACGTAGAGGAGGTTTAACATCAACTGAAAGCTAGGTAAAACAATTTCACTAAAATATGAAAATTACATAACTCTATAAGTATAATTATCCTAAAGATTCTCGAGAGAAATGAATTCTTACCATCGTCAGTAAAGCGCTGGTCAGGATTGATAGTGTCATCTGTTCACGTGTTTCTACGGCTTCATCTGGAAACGGTGTATACAGGAAATATGCCACAGCCACTACTAATAGTGATAATACCAGCAGGACGCGTCCCCAACCCATCTTGTTAGTACTGGAATGGAAAAAACGGCATGAACAATTTTAGTCAACTACGAAGATCCAAAAACACGAGTCGCAAGACATCAAAACAAAAGGACAGACATCACAAATCAATGATGGCGATTTGACTGAAATACTCGATGTAGAAGGACATTCAACTTTAATTTGAACTGAGAAGACATCAAGATTGAAGGAAATAAGTCGTAAACACAACGAACCGGAGCCGACACCAGCTCCTTGCCACATGCTGTATCTATATTCAACAATTAAATACAGCAGGCATTTCAGCCGTTTTAGATACATTTCCATGTTCATAATAAAAGTATAAAAATGATAAAGTATTGACTGGTGACAGGGTATTTATACGTATTACAATATTATCAGGCTAAAGGCAGAATGGTGCAATTGTAGCGTATGTAATGATAAAATGAAATGTAATCGCAATAAATTTATTAACTCAACCTGTTATAGAGAGATATTTATATTGATAATTGAGTGTAATTGTTCAGATATTTATTCGTGACTTTCTATCAAATATTATTTAAAAGCTATATTTGAATTTGTTTGTCTTCAACGCTCCTCAACACATTGAGCTCACGCATGCCCGAGCGGAAGGAAATGGATAAACGCAGGCCACCCTACACAATTAAAATTGCTGCGTTCGCAATACAGTGCAGCCATAGGTGGTGGGCACGTCTATCAAAAAAAAAAATGAATAGATAAGACTAGAAAGGTGAGGAACTCAGCCCCTACCAGCGGCTGGCAAAATTGAGGTAATTTTGTTTGAAGTGTCACAGAAATTTTATCCGCTTAAATCCTTCCTACAGCGTAGTCTCGATCGAAAGTAGGGACATTAATCTTTAAATAACACCCATTATATATCTTCAAAACAGTGAAGTTATTTCGAAAGCAGTTTCGAAGCTTGCCAAAATCACAGATTTGTGTTACCTCGGACACGATCCGGAACATTTTTTCGAAACAAATTCTTCATTCGGTACACAGAATAGCGGACGACGTAACATTAATAAACCATGGTATACTCAAAGATAAGGTCAAAACAAACTTGCTTACTTGTTTTACGCACCACTAAATTTCTCCTCTCGTGTCCCTCAAGTATTTTCTCCGCAAGATTTCACATTCAGCCCTCCTTCGTCCACCATCTTGGAGAATTTTATAATATGCAAGCTGATTGGTCGAGCTATTTTCGTCTATTTTTAACCGGCCGTTAGACCAATCAGCTTGCGTGTTACATATTATAAAATTCTCCAAGATGGTGGACGAAGGAGGGCTGAATGTGAAATCTTGCGGAGAAAATACTTGAGGGACACGAGAGGAGAAATTTAGTGGTGCGTAAAACAAGTAAGCAAGTTTGTTTTGACCTTATCTTTGAGTATACCATGGTTTATTAATGTTACGTCGTCCGCTATTCTGTGTACCGAATGAAGAATTTGTTTCGAAAAAATGTTCCGGATCGTGTCCGAGGTAACACAAATCTGTGATTTTGGCAAGCTTCGAAACTGCTTTCGAAATAACTTCACTGTTTTGAAGATATATAATGGGTGTTATTTAAAGATTAATGTCCCTACTTTCGATCGAGACTACGCTGTAGGAAGGATTTAAGCGGATAAAATTTCTGTGACACTTCAAACAAAATTACCTCAATTTTGCCAGCCGCTGGTAGGGGCTGAGTTCCTCACCTTTCTAGTCTTATCTATTCCTTTTTTTCATTTTGATAGACGTGCCCACCACCTATGGTGCAGCTAGCCCTTGTTCGGATTGGATCCATTTAGGAGCGAGCCCACGTCAGGACAGTTGTAGGGGGACAATGGGAACAGCAAGTTTAAAAATTTGGTTGATTCACCCGTGTACCGAAAAGGACCTGTGATTTGAAGAACGATGAGTAACTTTGACAATAACACAAGAGATATGTAAACAATATATAGGTGACATAGCTTATAATATTGTTACAATGTATTTCGATACTTATGTATTTTGTGGTATTAGAGATACCACCCATCGTAAGACATCTTACTGTAATGTCATGGGTTTAAAACAATATACAGACGTACTGCATCGACTGACGTCACTGGGTCGGATTGGAAATTCGTCTGCAGCAGTAATACAAGTATGAGGTGTTTACATGAACAGGCGGTGATGTTACTATGTCCATATACTACGTACCTCTATCTCTTGCCGTAATCTGTAGATTATGTTGTCCTATGACTTACGAACAACTTTTTCTACGATGCATCTATCGCTTTATCACACAGACACCTTGCTCTCTTGTGTGTACACGTGATATTAGGAAGAAATGTACACATGTCCTTTAAATTGTACCTCGACACACATACACAACGTCACACTTTATGACCCCGAGACCCACTTTACGTTTATATTCATCTCACTGTGTATACATACACGTATCTGGTAATTTTACATGATATTTTGCTACCTGCGTTATGTAAAATAAGTAAAAAATCTCTTTTTATATATCGTCTATATAACCAACAGCAATATCATTTGCATTTGTTCACACTACATTCCTAAGGGACCCCATTCAAAATAAGCCACGATGTGGCTGTATGGGATCCCAGGTGAAGGCCTAAATTAATCAAATCCAACCAGTTTTTAACACTCCGACTGATTACTGATAGTGCTATGGCATAAATAACGTAAAAATAACACATGTGATAATACAATATATGTATATATATTTAGGTCCACATTGCAATATGTGATATACGTGTAATGTCTGTTTTTACCTGAATAAATATTAATATTAAACTAGCAGAATGATATAAACATTAACCATCGTATACAAATATGTACGTGTATTGAAGAACTGTTTGACTAGCGTATGTTATCGCGATAACCATGTTGACCAAAGATCCCGCTTGTAAAATATCAGAAAAACGAAATGAATTAACCTTTTTAGCAGGCCTTCTATCCCTCGTATATCAAAGTTCCGGGTAGGTCACGAGTAATTGAGAAAACGACCATTTTTATCAGGACCCGGAAATATATACGCACCCGGTATTACAATTTTTATATTTCATGTATATCCCCTCTTGTTCTGTCTGTTGAACTACAATTTTGTTGGTATTTTTATGAGTGGAAAATGTATACAACGATTCTAGTTGTTAAAGGTATGTTTCTCATAGTGCTGTGTTATTATTGTCTTACTTTGTGTGTACACTATATAAACAGTTTAACAAAATCAAACCTAAAATAGACTATATGTTTAAATAACTAAATTATAAATCACTGAAAAAAATAACAGACCAGTCACCATACTACTAGAACGTCCAAGCTTTATGAGAAATCCATACACTGTACCTTCCCAGCTCAGAGACTTCCTCATTGATGGTGTTTTCCCTGTCATCTACAGAGCAGGATATGAAGATTGAAGATGAATTTTGACGTAACGTAAACCAATATGTTGCATGCTTTTGAAAGCCTTTGACTGTTAGCACACAATAAATATTCTTATCAACCTCAAAATAATCGGATTTGATGACTCTACTAATAAATTACTAGTATCAGATTATTTGAACAAAAGAAAACAATGAGTAAAACTAAAAATTAACACCAGCCAGTTCTTGAATTGTATCAGATGAGCCCTAAGGCCCAATACTAGTCCTCATACTATTAAAAAGTTTCTATATATTGTATTTTATAAAACATAAAAACTTAATTACGCAGTCGATAACACAATCAATTAAGAATGTCTTTCATTACACATTATCAAACACTTATACAATAGTTCCAACACAATCATATGTAGGCAAACCAAGACAACTTCAAGCAATGTCAATAGGCAAAAAGACATCAAGAAAATATCACATTGAATATGGGAAACGATTCGATCAACTGCGAACCAGAACTATAATTATTAGGCGTCACATTAGACATCCAACTCGTCTTCCACACTCGTGCTGTTAATATGCAAAAGGGTACTTAGACAATTAAATGTGCTAACGCGAATAGGCAGACACCTTAATAGACTTTAAAAATGTACGATATAAAATACTTTCGATTTCACTTTCTATCTTCTCGCTTGGCACTTTTGTGGCAGAATGAAAACAAAAACAAACAAACAGGAATGGGCATTTACTTTTTAATATCATGACTACAGAATAACATAAGAAGATGTATTAGCTCGTTCAAAATAATTAGACGCCAGGGAAATTTGGCTTTGGAAGTATGATGTTGACAAACAAAATACACATGCATTATATGCAAGCAACCGACATAGGCCTCAGCATCTCATTCATCTTTTCTGAATGCTTGAACTCATATTGGTCAAATAAAAATCCATTGAACACTTTAGTAACACTATGCTCAAAGAGTACACATACTTTCATAATAAATGAGTCAAAAACCTTTTTTTTATTTTATTTCGTATGCGCATGTCTTGGTATCTGTGTAGTCGGCTTAAATAGCTCCGTAGAGTTGTTTGAAAAGAACCAACTTTTAATACATATGTAAAACTTTGAATCGAATTGATTTTTTGTTTTCAAATTTACATTTCCGTATCAACAAGATTAAAACTCGAGCGTATCCTGTTAGTTTCAATACTATTAGTTATTGCGATGTCTTATTTCCTGGAGACACCATTGATCCTCGTGTACCAATTAAATGAAGTCATTCATTCTGACCGGAGTGATATGTAAAATAGTATACAGTTATAGAATGGGTATGATGGAAATAGCAAAGGGCCGGTTTCCAAAACGGCCCCTTCTCTGATTCAAATTTCCTGTTGGTGGTGCATTGCCCATGCCGTTGTGGTCACAAATCTATAAAGTATAAAGATTTAGGTCACTTGGTTTGTTTTTTATGGCTCCTCAAAGTTGTACCTTTCAGAAGCTGTCTAAGTGTTGATAAAATGTGCATGTTATGTAAAATATTAATGAAAATCTAATCAAATGATGGTCACCGTAAAGAATACATTCATGGCATGATTGTGACAAAAAATCATGTTTCCATCGCGCCATTTGGCTGTTTTATGGAAGAAACAATCTCAAAAATGCCATTTTCGATGATAACATTTTAGACACAAAAACTGTGTTTTTTAGAGAATACACCCTTTTATGGGCGTTGGATGCAAACCAATTTTTATCCTATTAAACAGTACGTAATATGCTATTGATGAGAGGAAAAATCATCAAAATGTAAGTGGTGGAACATTTTCAAATGTTGGGTTGAATTAGCCTATGGTTGAATTGCCGATTTTCGACTTTCTTTAGATAATTAACAAAAAAACGAGAGTATTTGCTCGGTATGTTGAGAATATGTACACAGATATGAAAAAAAGTGAGAGAAACACTTTTTCATAAAAAAAATCCAAGATGGCTACTTCACAAGTCCCCGTGGTTGAAGACATTGGCTGACAAATAGACAGAACAACAAACAAAACGTGTTCCTTATGATTTTGGTTGGTTTTCGCATTTACGGGAGTGTTCATAGCTACGGGCGATTGTATAATACCTATATTTATAAGTTTGGTTAGTCACATGGTAACGGGGATCTTTCATATCGAGCCCCAAACATACTTTCGACATATGCACTCCGTTGCCGCATGGAAAACTATTTCAAGTTTTGTCGGAATTTCTTTACCTGTGGTTGTAATGGTCGAGGGTTTTCCAGCGTCCTGTAATACCCAAGGTAGTACAAGATACTGGAGATGTGCGCACACATTCCCATCGTTCTCTCTCCAACTGGGCACTGGCAGTAGTAGTCCTTTATTGGGGCCTCAACATCGGGTGAAACGGTGAACCGTATCCAAACGTTATATTTCGTTTGGCTTTTGTGTCGAGAATGTATTTGACATCGGAGAAGGTCTGGGGAGTGCTGGTAAAGCCACACCTCATAGTCTCCGTCATCACTTAAATGTTCGGCGATGTAACCAGGAGCCAGAGATATCTGATACGTTCCACACGTAATGGTTCTCAAGTAATCAAGATCGAGACGGGGAAACAGTACGGAAGATGCATCCATCTTGACAAACTCGGACCTTGCCCGTCTAGATAGATCCGGATCTGTCTTGACTCTCTGAGCTAAACCATTCGGTGTTGTCAAACGGTCCTTCATACGTTCAGCCATTAGCCTATCTTTGGCATCTCTCTCTGGAGATCTCTGGTAGATCGGTCCTCTAATACCATTCAGACAGGCTGTGACGGTTCGAAGCAAAGCCTCGATGACATTGATAAAGCTGTTAGACACCAATTGCGTTCGGAAGAACGTCCAGTGTTTCAGACGACCATGATAGGATTCCACAATCCACCTCGATTTGGTGATAGTTCTGTCAAGATTTGCTTGGACGTCAGAATGTTGACTTTGACCGGGTTTCAGGTATGACGGCATGCTAGCATTGAGGCCAGAGGCTTCGAGAACTGGTAGGACATCTCTAAAACCTCGGTCAACGACAACGTTGTCGTCTGGTTGTAGCCAAGTAACTAGCTTGTCCATGACTTTTTTTGTAATTGTAGCATCATTTTCGCTGCCAGTGAATGGTCCTACTGTGTCCAGAATGTAGCCATCTGGTAAGGCGATGCTCATGAATTTGAGATAGTTTCTCTTCTTCTGGCCACAGTAGGACATTCTCTGGAGCTTGTGGTCGGAGCTTTTCTGGATATAAATATAGGTGCCATCTAATATGGCAGTGGCTTTATCTCCAAAAAATGCTTCTGAAAAGACAGTATTGTGCCCGAGCAACTGTTCTCTTGTCAAGTGATCCGGACCTAGAAATTGTGGGACTATCGATGTGTCTAATGCCTGTACTATGGAGTGGAAAGTTTTGGACACACTTGACTTGGAAATTCCAAAAAGAGAAGAACACTGACTCCAGGAAATGTCGGTTTTCAGTTTTACCCAGAACAGTAATAGAGCATCGTGTGTAGTCTTGGTATATATACCAGATGAAAGATATGGGGAACAGTGCGAGTGGATTTCGAGGAACTGATCTTTGGACCAACCTGTCCAGGCCATGCATGCCGAGTCATCAAGAGAAGAAAAGCTTATTGTAAACGCAGACTGGTTCTGTGAAAGGACGTGCGACACCTCTAGGAGGTCATTAATGATTTCGGACGATTTTGATGGTAACTGAGATTCCAAGGAACCTCTACCATCAAGGACAACCTCTGTAGACGGATCTAAGTCGTTACCAATAAGGTGAATGGAGCAGACGCGGGATGAGGTGGGACACCACAGTTTGTGTGAATAGATCAGGTGATGTCTTGCACGTTTTGGTAAGACTGATGATTTTGTTCCATTTCTTGCAAAGGTAACAAGACAGAGACAGCATTTTTTGTGTGAAGATGATCCATTCAAAAGATCATGAAGGGTCAGCAACGGCAGGATATGGGACGGGGAGTCGTCTTCTTCCTCTATTTCCTGGTTCTGCTCGGGTTCAGGTTCAGGCTGATTTTTGTTCCGAAGATACTTCATGTAGCACTTCTGGCAAATAAGTGCTTGTTCCTTTGCTGACATCAATCCTTGTTGCACCAGCGTATCTAGGAGCCATTTATATTGTGGACTATTTACATTGCGTGCACTTCTGTTCTTATTGCCACTACGTTTCTTGAAGTATACTTGACACCCTTCTCCAACACATTTACCCTCCATCTTGAAACAATAACGATTGGTTTATGAAGCGTCGATAAAGTAACAAAATAGCAAGCCACCGATGATTGCTGTAAACAGCTAATACTTAGTAGTTTGGTACAATTATGCGAAAATGTGTGATAAATAACGAACAACTAATTACACAAAATAACAAGACAATATAATAAATCACATTCAATACCTCCAAGAAGCGCAGAATTGATTGATTACTTAGAACAAAATAAAGTATTTCATATGGATAATCTATCTATTCGATGTGGCGTGGTCGGCAGGCACAAAGAAAGTGAGACAAGTCAGGGTCCCAACCCTGACAGAGCCACAACGCTTTGGAGATGGGACAATAAAACAAGGAAAGTGAGACAAGAATAGCTAGCGTCGAGTCAATGATTCCGTAAACGTATAGACAAAGACAAGAAGATACGGATAAATGTACAAGGCCACACGATCAGAAAATTCAGAAGAGGACAACTTGAGATAGAACAGTATTCATGTATCAGGGTGTCCTCAGTGTAAATCTTTATATCGATACTGTTTATTTAGTCGTTACACATCATAAAACTGTCATGAAAATATCCGCTCTGATATTCAATATAAAAGTTTGTATATAATAAGCTATATAATAGGGTTTCAGACAAGGTTGTTACTCATTTCCCCTTTTCTTTCAATTTACAACCACATTCAGGCGGCGATATGAGAACGTTCCACCACATGGAATTAGCTGATTTTTGGTACACATATGAAACAAGTAAAGCTCTATCCGATTTTCTGATGGAAATTTGCATCCAAAACTATATAACGGGAGAAAATTGCAATTTTATGGCATTTTTCTTCATAATTGTGTCTCTGCAAGTGCATTTTCATCCGAGAATTTTTTTTTTTATGTTTTATGAATAAACACGATGTTTTGGAAATATTTATCAAAAGAAATTTATACTATGTTGCGAATTACAATTTCGAGATAACCTTCTTTTATTTACGAACTTATGTCTTTGATGCTGAAATTGACAACTTTATAAAAATACATTTTCACTGAAATTATGAAATCTGGGTGTCGGAAAGGTGTAAAATTATTCTTCGGAAAAGAAAAAAACAGTAGTTGAGCTAGATAAGAAATTATACGGGGGCAGGCTTCTATGGAGATTTAACATTACTGGAAACAGGCCTTTTATGGTCCCCCGAGGTGAAACACTATTTCCAGAGGAAGCCGCATCTGGAAATAATTTGTTCACCACGGCTGACTATAAATTTATTATTTCCCTCATACCCATTCTATAACTGTTTTATTATTATACCTCTACTGAGTTTTCCCTATATAAAAACAATCCGATAAAATGTCCTATTTCCCTAAAATCACTTAAATCTCTCCATCTGGGGCCTACTCCCTCCACAAAATAGGACTACTCCCTGCAAGAAAGGACTACTCCCTCAGCAAGTCATAGTTGATGGTGCCACATCAGGCAGAATGAGGTTGTGAGCGGAGTCCCTCAGGAAACAGTTCTCGGGCCTCTTTTATTTCTCCTCTTCATCAACGATTTACCAGACTGTTATTCAGATACACAGAAGCACAGATCTTATTCTAACTACAGAAATGTTTACATTTCCTCTGCTGTAGGCTCTATTATATAAAAAAAATAAAAGGTTGGTTGATGTTATTGGTAAAAGAAACCTCAGAATAACAAGTCAGGAAACTAAATCAGCAGCATGATTTGCTTTAGTGAGACCAAACATGGAGTATTGTGCTTCGGTATGGAATCCTC